CCGTGCCGAAGTACATACATTATCATTATATTATATACTTGACGTAATTATAAAATTCGAAATTTTCGGTGAAAATAAAAATCGCTTTTTCAAGTCATTGTGATGTTATATATACCCGCAGCGGTACGTAATATCTGCTGCGGTGCAGAATAGGTAATATTATAATATTACTATTCGTATAAATAGGTTAGAATACTGGTATATGTCGTGGCGTCAACCATAATATAATCGTTTCTCCTGCGAAAACGTAATTGTATTTTTACATAAGTATATACCATATTCTTTATTACCTACCCGTGCAGCGTCTATATCTTTTCAATGAAATAATCTATACACGACGTCTCTGCGCTGCAGCAATTAGTCTGTATCGTCGAAATTAGAATGTACCTATACCTATATATTATATATAATATAATAATGTATATAACCCGAATGTGTTAAGTGACTTGGTGAACTGAGCACGATAACACTAGATAAGTGTGCATATATATATATATATATATATATATATATATAATATATATCTAAATATCATGCGTGTGTGTGTGGGCACACGCGTCTGATTGTGCACTGCACACGTATAAAGCAGATTCTCGATGGCATATAACCATAATAATAGTAATCAGTGGAGATAAGTCTTAAGTTTTACGATAGGTATATATATGGTTATTTATGTATAGCTGAGTCTTAATGATGCCTTTGATTTATTAGCGGAAAACACTTTCGACGTCTTTACTCTTTATATATACATAGAACTGCGTTCTAGTCGTTTTCAGTACAATATTATATATATATATATACTGAACTATAGTGTACAGTCGTATAATTTTAGCGCCATATTCTAAAAAAACAAAATATGTTAAAAGTGTGCAGTATAATATATTAGATTATTATACATATAATCGATGTCATGGCGGGAGGGGTATGGTATATACGATGGAGTCCAGAAAGTATGAATATAAGAAATGAATATATTTAAATGGAATTTACAAGATAATAAGTGTCAAAACATGTCATTATTTCCCTATGCATATTCACCATTGAGGTAAATACATTTTTGAAGCCTATTGGGTCCAGTTTTTGTATATATCCTCGTCGTACACCTTCTGCTACCTAAGCCTTTTCTCGCGTAGTTGTGTGCCTCAAATTTTTATATCATAATTTATAATGTTATTCGCGAAATAGGAAAAGAAAGATTTAGGTACCTCTATACAAGCCCGTATTTAGAAATTTGTCACCCAGAGGCAAAAAAACAAAAAAAAGCTTTATTATTTCCAAATAATAATGTAAAACAATTTAAAATCTTGAAATTGGCACCCCCTACCCCTCATATCTGTCCATGGAGCAAAAATACCCCGTCTTCTCTAAATACTGCCCTGCATGACTGCATGGGTACGTTCTATACATATTTTGTTATAATCTATTATACAATAATAAATTGTGTTTTTACACGACAATTTCAGAGCTTAACAACATCAACAATACATTATGATTATTATGTTATATTTTTAACGAACTCTGTATTTTAACTCCAAATTGTTTTTCCCGTATAGGTAAATAATTTAGAACTCTTCACATAAATATACATAATACATTATTATTTAATAAAGTATATATACCTACTATAAATAGCAAAATATAGGAAATGACTTTCACGTCAACACCCATTCTTCTGATGACCTACAAAAAAGCAGCTTATACCCTGAAAAACTTGTGAAAAATGTTTACTATTTAATGTCTGTTTACCTCTGCAACGTCCAACAATATTTGGGTCGTCCTGSTGTGTTTTATTAAGATGTTCCATTAGGATTTATGTTTTTTATTTTTTTTATTTTCAACAATAAATTGTGTGCCTTGAACGGTAAAAGTTGGGAAAATATTATACATATATATGTATATAGTTTTTTTTTTTTAATGGGTCATTCTATTGTGAAGCACAAAAGCGTTATTTGTACGGCTTAAACCTCGGGCGGACTCGACGGCGCGTAATATACATCCACCAGTATATCTTTATTTAATTTAATTTTTTTTTTTTTGACCTCATACCACTTGGAAATGTACAATTTACGTCGAATAAAAAATGTATGATTGTAATTACTTATTTAGAATTTAGACATAGCGGTGTGTATTATATAGCCTGCAGTTTCCTCAAAAAATCATATACACAAAATATAGTCTACTCGCGACTACTCCTCTGACAAAAAAATAAAATAAAATATTCGCTTCTCATTCCACTGAATATATTAATTCATTTAATATTTTGCTGCAGCAGCCACACGGTAGAGGAAAATTTGACATAATATATCTAATAAAACTACATTTAAAATAAATTGTTAATTAGTATATTCATTATTATTACTATATTATTTTGTTATTGCGGTGCACTCAACATCGATCCGCTTTATATTCATATTACATTGGCATGTTGTTGAATATGAATATATTATAATGTGTATAGCTAATTTACAATAMTTACTATGTGCGATATCAAAACCAATAAATCAATTGATAACAATATAGGTAATTATTAACAGCTCATTGGTGTTATGTCACATTTCTAAACATGATTTAATCGATAACACTGCAGTGTTGTACATTTCTATTATATTTTTATGAACCAATAAACAATATATATACCTACCATAATTTTCATTTAAAAGAATGATTTAATAAAATAAAAATATAACAATTTATGTCATAGCAGGTAGTGAAATAAGTTTCAACAACGGATGGCATCATTTTCAAAATCGTTCGCGTTCATTTGATATAACTCGGTTTTTATTTTCTTATGATTGGTAAACACCTTATATTATAATAAAAGGTAAATAGATAAGTTTGTTTCAAGTAGTTAATGCATTTACGAATAGTATATTATAAGAAAGTGGTAACAACTCACAAGCACAAAATATGGGTTGTATATTATGTACTTTTTTACGCGCATATCAGGCAATAATAATTGCATTATATATAGCCATTATAGTAGGTATACTCGTCGTATACATATCGTTACATGTTTGCTATATAAATCACGATTTTCACTGCACTCGTTGCATTATTATACATTTATACCTGTAATATTATATAATAATCAATTGTATTCACATACGGATTTGCGGATCGGTATAGCTGCGTGTGCCCTCGCACATCACTGCAAAAATTCTGCATGCACTTGTAGGTATATTATTATTATTATTGTGTGTATATTACGGACAGTTATTTACAGAAGTATAAAAGGTTTACCCGTTACGCGTTATTGTGTGTGCTGTATAGTTATACAATACGTATGTACCTAGGTGTATATTATAATAAACATTATGCGGTGTAGATAATGCACTCGCCACTGCAGGTTTACGGTCGTGTGTGTATAAAAGGTACAATATATGTATTATTGCAAACGTATATATTATTATACAACTGTATATCTGCATAGGCATTGTGTGCCAGTGTGTGTGTGATCTGTTGATGTGTATTTATACGTATATATATATATCTACTTATTCGACATCACACTCGGGTGTATATAGACTTTGTTGACCTATGACCTTGTGTCATATATAAATACCAATATACATGTTATACTATAAATAGGCATAATAACGAGTACTAAAAGAGACCCTTTTTTCATGGCATTCTTATGTATACATCACAACGCGTGTACATAAAATATATACCTACTATATATATATAGTAATAACTTAATAAGTAATAATAACGATAATAATTCACGGTAATAATGTTATAACGCGGTCGCCACAAAGCGTCTAGCGCATAATATATATTAGTAGATAATCGCACACAGAATAATATATATATATATATAGACTACAGGCATAATATGATAATATACTGCAGTTTATAATATTATGTTATCTATGCAAGAGGACGTTTACATAAAAGTATTAAAGGCTATACGGGAATAAACGATATACTGTATAGTCAATATTCCTATAAAACGTTCGGTATTGCAGTTTTAAAGTAATAGCTGTATGTTCTAATGCACAGATTTAAAGCCATATGTTATAATACCACTGACCGCGATAATAATAACCCCCCAATTCGATTCACATGTTCGATTCGTTCGGTAACAAATGGCAAGGTAACTATGATACACGACTGTCCTTAATATATTTTATATATTTTTGTATTACTTTTATTGTTATATTGGCATATAAGATAGATAAACCTAGCCAGATAGATAAACCTATGCGTAAGCACAAGATTGTGTAGGAATATGAAATATTGCGAATATTTTAAAATTATTACGCCGCACAATAAAAACAATATAGTGGCGTAAAACGACGACGACGACGACGACGAAGGCGTGTGACTTGGGTTATTCATAATAATAGGTACCTATTATGTGTAGTATACCTGATATACCTAGGTAGGTATATCTATATGTAGATGTTATTCGGTCTTATACTTATAGTCCCCTCGCAAAGGTCGCTGGCTCAAAGAGGAAAGCGTTTACAGCTTTTGTTGACAAATTTTTTTACCCACTTCCAGCAGGGATTTAAAAATTTCCGGCAACGAGTGGTGGTAATGTGTGGGGGAATAGGGGAGGCAGGGGAATCGCGTAGTTTTTCGTCCGCCGTCAAAAATTTTGGTTTTAACCCCGACCCAGCCCGCGCGCTCGCGGAGTACAGTTCGTGCGGCGCGCGGGGCGGGGGCACTGGCACATGCGTGTGGGGTGTGGCGCGGTGCGGAACGGCGTAGTGGCTCGGCGGCGGCGGCGGGGGGCTACACGTCGTGCGGAAAGAAGGTTAGGCGTGCGCGGCGGTCGCGTAAAAATATGGTTCACCCGGTGGTGGCCGCCCAGCGGCCGTGACGTCGCGGCACCCGATTGGCCGGGGAGGCGGTGCGACAATCGATACGTACCTGCGCGTGGCTCGGCGGGGAGAGAGCGCTCGGAACCCCCCGGCACGCCGCTCAGCCAACGCCGCCGCCGCGCGCGTATCGAGCACCGCACTAGTCTCGTATCTCGTTCGGCCGTCCGCGTAGTCGCACAACGGCAGTCGTCCACGCTCAACGTTCGTACCGCACGTCCACGCGCGTCATCACGGTCTCTGTTTATTAAGAATTATCGCGCGTGTGTTCCTATACGCCGCCGCCGCAGCAGCCGTGTGGTTTTCGTCACGACACACACATGACATCACCGTTTGTCCGTGCGTTGATCGCGTGTTCGTCGTCGTCGTCGCATTCGTCGTAGTGATATTTTTTCGCGTTTGCAAATACGCACAACACAATCGGTATTTTATTTTATTTTTTTTCGGTTTTTTTTTTTTTTTTGTTTTGTTTTCGTCCGCTTCAAGAGGATTTTCGTTCAGTTTTTCGTGTGCACATCGTGTGGATGACACCAATCTGACCAGGTCGCGCAGCTGCCGACGAAATCGCACCGCCGCCGCACCATCACCGGCTCCGCGGGCGGACATAGTCGCGCGCGCCCGTCGCCCGCGTTCTTCACCACGCACGGTAAATACACAAAGATAATTGACAATATTTCGTATCCGCAGTCGCGTCGCCGACCGTATACGACCGCAGCGATTAATAAAATGCTAATGGACGCCGAAATAAAAAACTGTTCCGGCCTGTTGACGGGCGGAGTGCACCACGCTTCCGCTCACATGGGCCACACATACGGTAATCTCAACCAGATGGGCATGTTGGCCGGCATCGGGTCCGCGGGCGTCGTGCTCGGCGGGCCACAGGGCGGTGGACAACAGCCACTGTCCTCGCCGCCGCCGTCGCAACAGCAACAGCAGCAACAACAGCAACAGTCCGCGTTGCACCAACAGCAGCAGCAGCAGCAGCAGCAACAGCAACAACAGCAACAACAGCAGCAGCAACAACAGCATCATCAACACATGCAGGCCGCGCATCATCATCACCAGGTGGTAGGCGGCCACGTCGTTGGCGGTCAGCTGCAGCTGCCGTCGCCGAACAACAATAACTCGTCGTCGGCCAACAAGAACCAGAACGTGGACCGCGTCAAGCGGCCAATGAATGCGTTCATGGTGTGGTCTCGCGGACAGCGCCGCAAGATGGCCCAGGAGAACCCCAAGATGCACAACTCGGAGATCAGCAAGCGGCTGGGTAGCGAGTGGAAAATGCTGACCGAGACTGAGAAACGGCCGTTTATCGACGAGGCCAAGCGATTGCGCGCAGTGCACATGAAGGAACATCCGGACTACAAGTACCGGCCCAGGCGCAAGACAAAGACWTTGATGAAGAAGGAAAAGTACCCTCTTCCAGGCGGTGGTGGCCCGCTCTCTCTAGGAGGTGCCGGTGGACAGCCGTGCGACAACTCCGTGGGCGGACGGAACGCCGTCTCTCAGGTATCTGGCGTTACCCAGCAGCAGCTTAACAGCAGCCGGGAGCTGTACCACCAGATGAACGGTTACATGCCCAACGGAGGATTCGGCATGCACCACGACCCGAATCCGTACGCGCAACAGCCGTCGCCGTATCATATGGCCGCCGCGTCTCAGGCCGCCGCAGGTTACCGGTACGACATGCCGCAGATGAACAACAACGCGGCCGCTGCTGCGTCCATGCACTACTTGAACGGCAGCTACAACCTGTACTCGGACATGAACCAGTACCAGCAGGGGCCGCCGTCCACGTCGCACAGCCCGGACAGCATCAAGTCCGAGAGGATCTCGCCACCCGTCCAGTCGGGCGGACACTCGCCCAGTCCAAGGCTGTGCCAGCAGCAGCAGTTGCACCAGCAGCAACAGCAACAGCAGCAGCAGCAACAGCAGCAGCAGCTCGGGGGCAACGATCTGCTACGCATGTACATGCCGCTCGAGTCCAGGCTGTCGGCAGCCGCCCAGGGACACCAACAGCCCGGTGGCCATGGCCACCCGTATCTGTCGCACAGYCAGCAACAGAACCTCGTGCAGCAGGGACACCCGCACTCCATGTCGCCCGACCTCCAGATGGGCCACTTGGGCCATCACATGTAAACCGCGTCGATCACCGATCCAGCTAGCCGACGAGCCCGCCTTCGCCTTCCTCCTCATCGCCGTCGACATCATTCTCCTCAACGTCCACGAGCGCCGACTGCACGGACAGCCCTTCACGGAGGACAGCGCCGCGCGCTCAACGCGTGTCATGTAAGCCATAATAAAAAAAAAACCAAAAACAAAAACATTTATTAAAACTTATTATATACATTTAAACATTTTAAACGGCGCGAAAGGTGGGCAAAGTGTGGTCTTGTTCCGCAATCTTTTTCCCGTCGTTGGATTTTTTTTTTTTTTTCATAAATAACATTGTCAATAATAACGGTTTACAAAACTTTTTAAGTGTTTAAACTTGCACATGTCGCGAGTAGTAGGTATATAATTCTAATTTCAACACAATGACGGTTATTTTTCTCCTACTTTTTTTTTTTTAATTTCAATTTGTTTTCGAAAAACTTAAACGCGTGTCGGCCGCGTGAACCATTTATTAATAAAAAAAAAAAACTAATGTCCTCGAAATTTGTAAAAAAAAAATTAAAAATACCTCCGCTTAACCAAAAAAWTTTTTTTTTTAAAACCATTACATTTTCGTCTAGTCTCCTGTGTAATAATTAATAATAATTTTCCGTTATTGTTGTTATGTGCGACGACTTGTCGAAAATCAACGTGCATAAAATATTATGTATGTGTGTTGCGGTATAATATTACGCGTGATTCCTCCCCATCATTGCCCGCTGCGGGTTCAATTTTGATTCGAACCCACACGAAACAACTCTTTTATGTATCTATACATTTGCTTTGTACATAAAAGTGTAATTTTTTTTCTTGACGAAAAGAAAACAATTTAGTAATATTATGCCCCCGGACTCCTGCGTACACCTTTAACAATATATTTGCATTAAGTATAATATATTATTTAATTACATTATAATATCATGAAAAATGCGCGCAACTGCGAACAATAATATTTATAGGTACCGCTTTAAATACCTACGATGTATAATATTATAGTGTTTCGGCCGAGTCTGCGGCGCGGAGCCGTCCGATATTGTGCCATAAAATTAAAATCGAAAATAAATTTATAAAATAAAAAGAGCACACACATCAATTTGTAATTTGTATAATGTTCAAAATCGAAATCGCTCGTCGCCTCTCCAAATCGTAATCCGTCCTACCCGCCGAATTCCTCTTCACGACGACATCGCCGTATAATATTATATTGGATCGCACGTAAATTAAATTGTCGTACACATGACCTCATGTGTGTGTGKGTGTGTGTATGTGAACAAAGTATACATTTGATCACTAAAAAAAAAACAACGATTTATGTACGAAAACGCAAAACCTTTTTTTGATTAAKTGTGCAGTCCCCGGCAAATATCGATAGGTATTACATGATTTTATTTTAAAGGACTCGCCGCACTGTGTACTACAAATTAATAAATCGTTAGGTATTATTATATCATACTGTTTATTTCGTATACGATAACATCGGAGTTCAAACAACATCACACACGCGCACACAGACTTACGTGCGTAATCCGGTAAAACAAACGGAATAGTAATAAGAAAAAAAAATGGGTAAAACACGATAATAATAATAATATAAATAAAAAAACTGGTTACCCGTCATCCTTTCCTCTGGCCGACGCCGCCGACGCCCGGGGAGAGAGACGCGGAACGCATAATTTGTACATTTATATTTCAGATGTGTATATATATACATTATTCGTTATTATGTGTAATATTATTATTATTATTATTATTATGTTGTATTCAATTAGCGATGTGTTTTATTACTTTTTTCCCCCGATCTTCAAACGAGATCGTTAGACGGGGCGTGGAAGGTGTGTCTTACACGCACACACAAAACAAACCGCCTTAAACCGCGGCGATTTGTTGTCAAACACGGCGACTGTTATTAACCCGTGCAAGACGCGATATGGTCGTCTCGTATCACCTGTTCGATCGTTATTCCACCGACGGCATTTCCTCCGAGACAAAAGTCCCATCACATTCGCAATATGTTTCGCGGGCGAAACGTAACAAATCGGACGTTTTCCGTCAAAAGTTTCAAGAAAACAAAAACGCGCTGTAAGCGTGTGTGCTCGCGTCGCGTTTGTCAGTTTTGTGTTATCATTTTTTTTTTCCGATAAAATTACTGCAGAAATGCCCGACCRGATCAGGCCCAGCGATGTCGACCCACAGACGTACTCTCTATTCCCCATACAACAATAATAAACTATACTTACAATTATTTATTATCGTTCACATTGATTTCCATCATTATCCGAAGCACCTACCTATATTAGTTTTATCTATAACGCGAAGACGTTCGTGACTTTTTTTCGTTCACTCTGCGTTAGCACATTACGCCATAGTAATAGTAATAATAATATTATTATTATTATTATAATTATTATTATTATGATTATGGCGTATTTAGTTGTACCACCCAAACAATAATAGAATTAATAGTTTTAATCGAACATAATATAATATTATTTTCCGTTAGCCGTCGTCTCTCCGTCGAACACGGCCAAGAAGAATAATATCATATCATGACGTAGATTGCACGCGTTTCAAATTTTTTTTCGTTTTCCCCTCTCTATTTTTATCATTATCGTTATTAAATTATACAGTTCAATGTCTGAAGTGAGTAAACAGTATTGTCGACGATTTTTGGTTATCTCTGCGCTTATCGACAATAATGTTCACGTCTAATTTCGTGTTGTATTTTTTGGCGTAATAGTACCTATGTATACTGCAGACGTATTATGTTATATTATGAACTCTGTACCAACGATTTTACGCACCGCTGTACGAAAATCGCTATCCCCGAGTGTTATGTATATATTATATATACGTCGTTAGTATATTATGGTAAAATTTCGATATTATTGTTGATAGGCAGTTAWAGATATAGATTATCGATATAGAGATGCACAAAAACCGCTTTTAAAAGTACTCGCCGCCGCATCATTGCAACCACCTCCCTCGGATGTCCTAACCACCCGTCATGCCGTGTAAGACCATTATTATTATTTTTTCTATCGTTTTTCCGATTTATATGACTCAGTGTAAACCGTTGGTTTTTGTTCTTTTTTTCTTTTGCTGTTCCTGCACTGAACGTGTAGACGTTATGCATATCGTCGTTCTCGTAATAGATATAATGATATTCTTAAAGTCCACGGTTCAGTCAAATATTGTACGATAATACTATATGTTCGTTGTGAATGTTGTGATCATTCACTCGCGGGCTGATAGTGTAATTTGGCGCGGAGAACAGAAAAAGAAAAAAAAATTTAAAACAAACACTAAATGTAACTTAATAATAGGTATAGGTAGGTAGAGAATATGACGTGCGATCCATAGAAAACACCATAATAATAATAATAATAATAATAATATTGCAATGTGATCCCATGTTTCTTCGYGTTTTTCGTTGAGTTGCCGACGTTTATTTAAATTTTTTTCCATATTTTTATTTTTATTCTGTTCGCAATAATCTAGCGTGCTGTACAATTATTATTTTGACTAGAATGTAGTTGTTCGTTCTAAAATTATTATACTCTTTGGCTGTGAGTCGTGAATTTTCCTATCTTTTTGATTTCCTGACCAACAATCCCGAATAAAGAAACAACTGTATGTGTGTGTGATTTTTTTTTAAAGAACATTTTAATGTGTATATTTACATTTTTCTTTCTATACACACCGATGAACCCCAATTACATAATATGTTTCTTGCCATTTACGACAAACCGAGTTGTTTTTGTGCCATTGTTTCCCAATCTTAATTAATATTTTAAAATATATATATAAATGCATAACTATATTATATATATTTATACATAATTTATATATATATATATATATATTGTAAACAAATACAAAATCGAATAAAATAATAATAATTTGTATAAAAAAATATATATATATGTGTAAATATTGTTGTATCGTGATTAAGTGATTTTGGAGTTAAAAATGAATATGAAATAGGGTATATATTTTTAAGGAACAATATATAAAATATTATATATATAAAAATAACAACATTGATAATTTCTCCAAAACGATAAAATTAATTTTTAACAAATATGCAACAAGCGATTAGTGGTTATTATTTCATCTTAGAAACATTATTTTAAGTTAATTATATAAATACAGTGAACCCGAAACAATTCGAGTTATTTTTATGATTATTTTTATTTTTACRATTATTATTATTAATATTATCATTAAAATTTTTTCGTTGTTGATGAAAATACCAAATGAATATAACACTATACGTATAGGCTGACGACCGTGCTAGCCGGAGAACCTATTGTTTTCCTGCTGTGCGTGCGAATTTGATAACATTGAATCCGACACGGATGCAGCGTTATGATAATATTATTATTGTATTATTTTTCTGTAGTGTTTTAAGGTTTACAGCTCAAACAAAAAAAAAGATCATTTTATATTAATTGTAAGCCCGAATTGGTTTTTTTTCATCAACTTTTTTTATTAAATATTATTATCTTTTTATTATTATTATTATCATTATTATTATTATTATTAAAAATATTATTATTATTATCATCATTATTATATTATTATTATTATTATTATTATAATTATGATTATAATTATTACATTATTATTATTTTTACATTTTGTAAATAAATTACTATAAAACAATTTGAAAAAATGTGTACATAAAATTGTAATAACAAAAATAAGCAACGTTGTACTTGTTCTGTTGTCTTTAGACTTAAATTTCTGTACCAAGTCTGATATAGTGTTTGGTCTGTATTATTTATTAGTAATATATATTGATAATGTATTATTGACGTGCGAGTTTTAATTTTTTTGTGGTTAAGTTTTTTATAAATAATAATCTTCTCTGTTATTTATTAGTATTTCGTCCGCAATACATGCAGGTGACGAAAACATGGGCCGATTTATTGACCTTATATAAATTGCTCGTAATTGAAATATTTTAATATTTCACGAAATTAATGACCGTAAAAATCGTAGTGAAATTGACTAAAAAATTGTATGGTTTTTTGGTCCGATAATGAAAATTATATAATATTTTTTCTATTATAAATTATTATTAATATTATTATTACATATTGCAGTGCCTACAATGGTATTTCTGGGTGAATCTTAAAAATGTGTATTACGCTAACATGTTGTTGTTGTATCTAAGGTATATAATTATTTCGTATGATAGGTATTATATAGGTTAAGGAGTTTTAGTGGTTGACCGTGGAAAAATTATAATAATAATATTATAGACGATGAAGACGCTGAGTTTAGGAACARTAATATTGTATGGTATTGATTGCAAAACAAAATACGTCAACACATCATCGATAGACGTCGTGAGACGTTAACGCGCTATAGCTTACCTATGCCTATACATCTAATTAAAATTTAAATATTATTCGTCGCGCACAATTGTCGGTCTYAATTCTCAATAATTAGGATGTGACACCGGACGTGTATCTTTCGATCGTTCATATTATAGTGTTATGATAATTTTTTTTTTTTTTAAAGCGCGCATTACGCAATGTTTTATTTTATCGGAATAAAAAAAAATTTAATATTTGAATGTTGTGGCTGTGTAGCGTACTATGCAAATATTATAGATACCAAATAAATATAATATTACGTTATAATCGTCGCAAGCAAGTGTCACGGAATCAATAATGGAAAACCTTGTGCCCGAATCCGGTTCTGATCGCGATGTGATTTCGTTTTTTATTTCATTTTTTTCTACGTCTATACATAAATCTCCCTTACCGTCTAAACACGACGGTTCAAAACTTATCAATTTTTGCCGGTCAATCTCGAGTGTTGTCATTCATACACGTCGTTTCGTCTTTTCACCGTCATGCAGCCTGCAGTGCGCGCAGTAACGATCGCTTGGACACTTCAAAGCCGCCAGTGAAAAAATAATCGAATATCGACGAAATGATACCACATATAACATAGGTAATATTATGTTTTTTACCTACAGTATTTTGTAATAATACTATTATGTATTTGTCTATGAAACGTTCGACCGCGACAGTTTTTATTCTACCGATCACATTCGATTTTCATATTATAATGTTTTCGTCCACCACGTCATGATGTCTATAATGAGCGATAATAAAATATATTAGACTCCGCCGACATAACATTGTAGTTTAATTTATATGCATATTATAGCATCATATTATTATTATAGTATAGAAGGACTTAGGGCTGCAGCGTATARAGAACTTAAATACACGAACAATATCACGCGCAACAAAGAAATCGTCGATCGATATTATTATGTTTTCGATTTCCCGCCGTCGTCGGCCTCGACGATTTTCAAAAATATTTTCCCAGGTAACTCTATAATAGCCTAAATACAGCACTTTGCCGTGTAGTGTTTCGGTTGTGATGCGCTCGTACGATTTCTCCTCGGATTTATATCGTACATTATATATTTTATTATTTTTTCGCATTCGGTGTGCTGTTTTATGCGCGTTAATACTGCCGACTGGCGTCCGACCAAATAATGTTATGAATTATGGCGATGTGGCGCAGCACACATTATAAATCATTATAAACTATCGTTGAATAT